ATAAAAAGTGTTTCGGAATAATTGTTATAAACAGTTACGCTAAATTTGTCGACTCCAAAATCGCTATATTTAACTTCATCAATTTGATGAAACACGCTCGCTCCAGTGCCACCGACCAGCACCATTCCGATTTCATTTGTCACACTGAAACAGTACTTCCAGTAAGATGACACAAAAATACAACGATGATCCAAGAATTCGTTTGTGATGCATGTTTCAGTTGTTTCTCCTTATCGCTGTGACCCTCTTCTTGAGTAGATCTTCCATGTGGATGCATCCTACATGTCACCAGCGAGTACCATCTGCTGCTGTGCGAGCAAGCGCAACCAGAACAACTTGAGTTTGCGTGCACTGTACGAATACGCTGTGCTCCGGTCTTGCTGCTGAGTGAATTAAAGTTCCTGTGATTTGAAGAACTGAAATTTTATTGCATACATGGCAGCTTACTTGTCTCTCCGTTCGCTCTGCGATTGGCAGTACGAGCACTCTTCCATAGGCGGCATGAATTCGAACATTACCTTCCCGAGTGGTCGTTTTGGATCTCCATTGCCGCTAATTACAATTCCACCTTCCACAGGTACCTGCAAATCGATGAAAGCACAGTCGTTTTGCTGAGTTCAGTCGCACTCAGTGTCGAGCTGTCACTTGGGGAGAATTTTTTTAAGATACAGAAATGTAGCCGGACAAGTTGTAAAGCTGTGCCAAAGCCTTCTTGGCCTGAATTGTGCATCACCACTTTATGTCTCTTATCCCCATTACGCATAAAGCAAAATGCACAGTTCCAGAGCTCATTCAAATAGTCGTTTAGGTTTCCATGATACTACATTTACTGGGCGGAAACTACCTGCAAAACACATCTCTTGCTTTCTCTTTTAACTTTACAAGCTGTAGGCCATTAAAGCCAATGGAGCATCTCACGTCCCAAATAATACGTCGTTATATATTTTAGATATGTGTTGCAGGTCAAGTGAGATCTATTACTTTGGAACAGCAACAGTGAGGGCCAAGAAATGACCCTCAAGACCACCAGGAGATTATCTAGCCGTCGTTCAACTTTGCTACAGCAACTGTGGAAAGGCTGCCAGCTGCACTGA